CAGCCTCTGCTGTGCGGCAGGGTCTGCAGCATCTCCTTCTCTCTGTTTTCTCTCCCTTTGCTGTCTGGGCAGATGCCAGCCCGGTGCCCTCGACCTCCAGCACGTACCATGCAGTGATCGGCGGGGTGGTTGCTGTCATTGTCTTCCTCCTGCTCAGTCTTCTCATCGTGTTGGGACACTACCTGATCAGACACAAAGGTACAGGGTGGGGGAGCTGCACGGGGAGGGCGTGGAGCCAAGACCCCCATGCCACATCGGAGCAGGCAGTGCAGGGCATGCTCCCTTCTCAGTGGGTCTCTGGGAGCAGGGCTACATCCCCGAAGTGAGCAGGCAGCATGGGGCAGGAGTAAAGGGAGGCAGCTCCCTGTCCTCCAGACCTGCCCCGTGTCCAGAGAAACCCAGCGCAGCCAATGGAGCCTTCCTGTGTTTGGGGACTGCTGCCCATGCCTGTGCTGGCACTCACCCCAGCGTGGAGGTGTCCCAGTGAGTCCTTGGAGCTGCACGCAGCAGGTGGAGGCAGCTCCTACCCCATTTCTCCATCTGTCCTTCACGGCATGGTACCCCCTACCCTGGGACTGCCTGTGCCACTGTTCCTGTCTGTGCCTGATGCCACCTCCTCCCTCTCCCTGCCCTCCTCACCATCCCTTGAGCCCTCCGCCTTCCTCTTTCCGCTTCACCATTTCCATCTCCCCATCCCTGGACTTTTCATCCGCCCAGCAGGTATGTGCATAAGACACGGGGAGACGGTCACATCCAGACATCGGCAAATCCCAGCAGAGGTGATGTGTGAGTAAGAGCCCCCCATCCCTGCCCTCCGAGCCCAGCAGAGCTGCTGCATCTGCCCCACACCGTGCCAGCTCTGGGGGCAGCCGGGAGCTGGAGCCTCCTTGAGGATGGCAGTTTTGCAAAGAAAGCCTCCAGTTTTCTGAGGTGGAATAGGGACAGGGGTGCAAGGAGGGGCAGGCGGTGGGGAGGGCAGGAGATGTGCCTGGAAATGCAGGCAAGGGCTGCTGCCTGCAAAGCGGGAGGCAGTTTCACCCTCTGCCTAGAGATGACTGCAAAAGCTTTGAGCTGCCCAGGTGAGGGTTGTTCCCTGGGCAGGGCTTATCCAAAGAAACCGGTGACTTTTCCATTTCAGGCCAAACCCAAAGGCCTTTCCTCTCACCTCCACTTTCCAGCCAGCCCCTCGGACTCTGCCGTCGGGGCCCCTCCAGGCAGCCCAGCCTTCCCCTGCTTGCGTGGGAGCGGGGTGCCAGCAGGGTCCCCCCGTGACACTGACCCCCTCTCACCGCCCAGGTACCTACCTGACCCACGAGGCCAAGGGGTCGGACGATGCCCCAGACGCTGATACGGCCATCATCAATGCAGAGGGTGGCCAACCCAGCGGCGACGACAAGAAGGAGTATTTCATCTAGGGTCGTCACAGAGAGTGAGAAATGGAGCCAACAGACCCCGATGGAAACGGAAACCAGACCACAAACCCCACTCAACCCAACAGATTTTCTCTCGCGCCCAGCACGGGCAGACAGACGGACAGAGGGATGGCGGGACAAAGAGCAGAGAGCAACCGGCCTGAGACATGATGCTTCTTCTTGAACTTGTACAAAACGTTATTACTATGAACAGCGAAAGCCCCGGCCCCGTTTGCTTGCTTGCACCTCCATCCCTGCGACCAGCGCTCGCGCAAAACACAGACCAACCAGTGAGTGAGCGACTTTCCTTCTTCCTTTGGACCTTTGCTTTGGTTTTGTGGCAGCTCTTTGCTTTGGGCCCTTGGTTGGGATGTTGAGCTGGGGTCGATGTAGCTCTTTCCTTTGTTTCTCTCCATTTTGGTTTCTTTGACATCCAAGGATAAAATCAGCTCCAGGCTCTGGCGCAAGCCCCCAGCCGATGTGACAGGAGCAGGATGCCAACGGGCAGTGTCTCTGCCTCCAAGGTCTTGGTGCGTGGCTGGGGTCAAGCAGGGAGTGACCCCGGGCCCCTGCCCTGATTTTATCCTTGGTGGTTCTTGTCGAACAGTGTCCATTCAGGAAGAGAGCTGTCCTCGTGCAGTAGATGTGTGAAGGGGGGGTGAGCTTCCACCCCAGCCGATGTGACAGGAGCAGGATGCCAACGGGCAGTGTCTCTGCCTCCAAGGTCTTGGTGCGTGGCTGGGGTCAAGCAGGGAGTGACCCCGGGCCCCTGCCCTGATTTTATCCTTGGTGGTTCTTGTCGAACAGTGTCCATTCAGGAAGAGAGCTGTCCTCGTGCAGTAGATGTGTGAAGGGGGGGTGAGCTTCCAGGGTGGGAACCGCTGAGGCCCCCAGAGAGACTGGGAGCTGCTGGGCACTGCAGCTCCTGGGTCCCACCCCAGCGGGAGGGGGGAGGGCAGAGGTTTGGGGGCGAATCCAGAGAAAAAGCCCCGACTTTACAAATTCTCAGATTGGAAACGTCAATTTAAACCATCTATTGAGATGTTCAGTGCAGGAAGCGACCTGCGCTAGGAGCACCGGGCAGAGCCAGGAGAGTCAGCAGGCCTGCGGCCATAGCCACCCCCTCTTCGCTGGGCCAGCTCTGGGGTATCCGGAGCCTCTGGAAAGGTCGTTTAGACCCTCAGGGTGACTTCAGCCAGAGCTGATGCAGCTAGCGGTACCACGGGAGCTGAGCTGAGCTGGAGATGACCTGCTCCCCAGCACAAGCAGCCCAGCATGGCACGAGGCCTGGGAGATGTGCAGGGAGTGGCTCCACCAGGGTCTACTGCTCGGAGCTGTCTGTCCCCCTTCCCTCCCCAGCCCCTTCCCAGGGCAGATGTGAGCTTGGAAAAGGCCGGTTTCTTCTCGGCTCCAAGGGACGCAGCCAACAGCAGCTGAAATGCCCAGGTTTAGTATCTTGGTAGTTCTGGGGTCTCCAAGGAGGCTTGGGGGGGCTTGCCCTACCGTCTACCTGTTTCGCTGTCTCTTCCAAGAGAAAAATAAGCAGCTTTCCCAACTCTCCAACATGTCCCGGAGGTCTGCTTGGCCCACCCCAACCACACACCCACAGGATGGGGCTGCAGGGGGCTGCACACTCCAGCATCTGCAGGACACCCCACAACCCTGGGGAGCCAGGCCCCATCCCTCACCCTTGAGATGAGGTTTTCCAGCTTCCCAGAATCCCAGCATGTCTCGCTCTGGACACAAGGGGTTTGCAGGAGCCAGCCTTTGGCTGGGCACCCTTCGATTTCAGGTTGTCTGGAGGAGACCCCTTTGGGAAGGAGCAAAAGCCCTCGCTGGTGCAGTAACCTCACCTTGGAGGTAGAGGAAGAGCTTGTGTCCTCCACTGTTGGGGTGCCGGGTGCCCGTGGGGCAGGTAGTGTCACTCCCATCCAGACCGTGCGAGTGGCATGAGGAGGATGCCCGCGGGGAAGCCATTGCAGAGCAAGCAGGGCTGGAAGGGGGCTGGGGCCAAGCAGACAAGGAAGAAGAGGCATGGCTCGGAGGCAGGCACAGGGTGTGAATGAGTGATGTGTTTGTGGCATTTGGGCGTGTGCACAGATGTGACTAGGTTCACCATGGCTAAATCGTGTGTTAGGAGCACGCAGGCAGCAGGGTGTTAGCACCTCGAGAGAGAAGTGCACGAAGCCATCATACATGGTGAAGAAAACCTGCGGTTTTCTCAATGTTGTTCCTCCCTTCCTGTCTCTTTGGAGGAGGACGTTGGCATGGAGTCCCAATGGTAGCTCCGAGCTCGTTTTGAGGGATGCAACCGTTGCTGCCGAAGATAACACTGCAGATGTCGATGCTGTTAACTACTCCACTGCACACTGAGCATGTATGAATGTGCGACCTGATGCTTCGCTGAAGATCTTTAACATTCACTATGAAATAGACGTAATTCCTTCAAATAAAAATGCAAGGACGTGTTTTCAAGTACAGTTTAATCTCATTGTAAGTCTACATGCCGTAGATGGTTACAAAGAAAGCCCCAACTTGGGGGTCTGGGAGGGAAGGGGGTTAACTGGTCCCTAGGAAAAGGGAGGTGGGAGCTGAGGTCGGACAGGGATGTTTGTGCCCTTTCAAGGCAGCGCAGGCACAACCGTGGCCAGTTTTTCCGCAGCACCGTTACTGCAGAGCTGCTTCAAGGGCTGGTGCTGGTGGTCGCCGTTTTCCCTGGCGAAAGAAGTCGGGATTTGGCCTTTTTGAGATGTCGCCCAGTAGGGGACATGGCAGGATGCAGCATGGGGAGGACCAGGCACAGACAGCACTGGAGTCAGACCTGCTGCCTGCGGCAGATGTCAGCAAAGGATGGACTGGGTCTCATGCCAGGTGGGCCCCTTGTCCTGCTATGGCCGTGGGTGTCACAGGTCCTGGGAGTGATGGGAGCATGAACATGAGGCTGCATCTGCAAGCAAGAGCCAAAGGGCTTTAGCAAGGGAGCAGTAGACCCGCTGCCATGGGCACGAGGACAATGGAGACCCTGTGTCACATGTGAGGGGTGACAGATACACTAGGTCACATGTGTGAAGAGGGAGATGTGGTGGGATGAGTGTGAGGGGTGATGGGGACACCATCATGAGGCTACGATGGGCCATGTCACCGTGTGGGAGGGTGCAGTGGTGGTGCACCCACCATGCTGCTGGTGGAAGGTGTGATGGGACACACCATGTCGTGAGCATGATGGGGAAACTACTTTGCGAGTTTGAGACCCTGATGAATAGATCGTGTGATCGGTGTGAGATGTGGTGGGAAACACCATCTTGGGAGCCTAGGGGCATGGTGGGGCACACCAAGTGTTGAGTCTTTTGGGGTGATGAATACACTGTGTCACAGGTGTGAAGAGGAACAGGTACACAGCCATGAGCGGGGGAACAATGGGTGTCAGTTGTGAGCTGCACCACACCATGACTGTGTTAGGGTGATGTGACGGGGGGGGTGATGGGGGTGCACCCTGTTGTATGTGTGCACAGCGCTGTGGTGCACTGGGTCAGGGCTATCAGGGAGGGTTGGGTACACCATGTCGTAAGTACAAGAGGCGATGTGGATTGTGTGAAGGGGTGAGAAGCTACACCTTGATGCTAGCACAGGGGTGACACCACACACCATCAGCAGCACAGGGAGGTGGTGGGGTATGTGGTGTCACTGATGTGGCTGATGGTGGATGTGCCGCGCTGCAGGAGAGAAGAAGCGATGGGGCAGGCAGTGCTGCTGGGGTGGTGACATGAGGGACATGCTGTCACAGGGGAGGGGGGACACTGGGCTCCTGTCCTTCCCTGCTGGTGCCCAGCAAGGCCGGGCAGTGTCACAACGTGGCTGGGAGAGCCCAGGGCACTAGCCACCTCCCTGGGCCTCGGTGGCCCCTTTGGAAGCAGGGGGTCCTTGTTGGCCACACGGGCAGGGGGCATCCAGCCCCATGTCCACCCTGTGCCACTGCAGTCACCCGTGCTGGGCCCAGGGCATCCAAATCAGGACGTAGCAAGGGCCAGCGCTGGAGGAGCGAGGAGGATTCGGAACCCTGTGGCCCTCGTTTGCGGCCGGGCCTGTTCACTCCTGCTCACCAGCCCCAGCAAGGCTCCAACTGCTTCCCGGCCGGCACTGAACTCTCAATAGACACGAAAGCCATATTTGTAGGGAGCTCTGGAGATGCCGTGGGGTGGCAGCGGGACAGGGCAGAGGACGGTCTGTGTTGTTGTGCTGTGTTCTTGTATGTACATAAAAGGGAGACAACGAACGTTGATGTGACTTTATAACCTTTCTAATATCCTGTGCTAATCTCGGAAAATAATCCTATAAATATATCTGGATTACACACGTTACCTGTCTGTGCGT